ATTTGTTTGGTCTTTTCTCTGATGGTTCTGCAGCAGAACCGGCAGCAGGAGCAGCAGGGCTCCCCGCGTGTTCTGGTCCGGAGAAAGGAACCCTGTTAGAACCTCATATCTTTGCTTCACATGTTCAGCTTCTCTACGTTCAGCTGGTTCCATCCAGGGTTTCCCTCAAAGCTGCCTCTAACGTCTGGTTCTTTGTTTCAGAGCTGAACGCCGTTCGACTGAAGCTCGGCGTTCAGGAGCGAGATCTGCTCAAAGCTCAGAAGGTGACGGTTGGTAAATCTGTCGGTCTGTGCTCCTTCTGCTTCAGCTGCTGATCTTGTTTTTATTTCATCTTCAGGCTTTGAGTAAAAGCAAAAAAGCTCAGGTGAGTCCAGCTCCAGGTTGCTATGGTTACCGCTTTACCATCAGAGCTGCCTCAGTGGTTCCTGTTGTGTTCTGCTGCAGGAGGTGGACGCGCTGCTGAGTGAGAATGAGATGCTGCAGGGGAAGCTGCACAGCCAGGAGGAGGACTTCCGGCTGCAGAACAGCACCTTGATGGCGGAGCTCTCCAAGGTCTGCGCTCCTTCAGTTGCTTCCGCCTTTAAATCCAGCTCACCTTCTAACAGCGTCCTGCTCCTCCAGCTGTGCACGCAGATCGAGCAGCTGGAGCAGGAGAACCGGAGCATGAAGGAAGGCGGAGGAGCCGCTGCTTCCGACCCGCCTGCTAACTCCGCCTCCTGCCCTGCGGACGGAGAGCTGCTCCGCCTCCAGGCAGAGAACGCCGCCCTGCAGAAGAAACTTAAAGGTGGGTTGATGGAGGGATCAGGTGGAGACGGACGGTTTAGAAGATGTGGGCGGAGCCTCAGCAGGGTGAGGAGCAGCGCTCCTAAATCCTCACCAAACCTTTCATAGCTCCTCTTCCTCTGCAGCTCTTCAGGAGAACTTCGACAGGGAGCTGCAGAGGCAGGCTGTCTCCCACGGCAACCAGAGAGCTACCACGGAGACGGACGGGTCGGCTGACACCAACGGAGTCTCTGATGTCTCTGCTGGCGGCGAGGACGCGGCAGCAGAAGGAACCAATCAGAGGGAGGGACAGGTGAGTCACCTGTGCTGGTTCTGTTTGACCCGGCTGACGGTTCTCTGACCCAAACCTGAGGAGGAACCGAATCTGCAAACAGAAACCGACCCAAAGAACGACGACGATGCAGTTTAAGACTAGAACTTTCTGTTAGATATCTGATCAGGGTTCTAGAAATGGTTCCAAAATGGGTTCTAACCTCTCAAATCCCACCGCGTCGCCTGCGACCCGTTTTAAAGCGTTTACAGCTCAGAATGAATGTTTACCAATAAAGATGTTAGACATTGTTGGAAAGCTTAGATTCTCCACAATTCAACCACCAAGTTCATTTAATGGACACACCAAAAAAACACCAATTAACACCGATACAAAGCAGGTCAACATGTAAACATGACAAAGAAGCTAAAACAAGCAAGCAGGTCTTTATAACCGCTGTTCAAATAACACATGATATTCAAAAAAAAAAAAAAACTTTGAGTCATGTTTGAACTGATGCAGCTTGGGCTGTGTTCTACTCACCCAATTTTCATTTCAAATTCAGAAACTAGAAGGTGTTAGCCTTCAAATAATGCATCACACATTATTTGGGCTTACAGATCCTAAGTTATTTGCTTTTTGGTTTACAAAATAGGTGAGAATTTCCCAAAATGGGGGGGATGTTAAAGGAATAGTACACCCAAAACATGATTAGCCTTCATTTTCTACTCACCCCCATGCTGAACAACACTCTGGAGTACTTTTTTGA